AGAATTAGCCGAAGGAACTCATATCTTGGTCCTCTGATTAAATGTCCAAGATATTTTAGTTTACGTCTCTTAATAATATTTAATAAAGTTCGTTGATGTCCCATTCTTCGAAGAATTTCTTCGTTTCTGGTTCTGCTAGTCCATGGAATTTTTAGTATCCTTTGATACAACCACATCTCAAACGCCTCGATTTTATTCATGATATCGGCGTTTAAAGTCCAAGTTTCAGATCCATACAAAAGTACAGACCATACGTAACATCTTGTAAACTTTTCACGGATTTCCAAATTTAATGAGTTATTGGATAATAGAGGCTTGAATATTTGAAATGAGTTTCTTGCCTGTTCAATTCTACATCGAATTTCGAAGGATGGATCTAGATCTTGTAAACTTTTCGTGGATTTCCAAATTTAATGAGTTCTTGGATAATAAATAGAGGCTTGAATATTTGAAATGAGTTTCTTGCCTGTTCAATTCTACATCGAATTTCGAAGGATGGATCTAGATTTTGGGTAATCCAACATCCAAGGTATTTGAATCTCTGAACTCTCTGCAGCGGTTGTTGGTTTAATATCAGTTGGGTTGCGCCGATATCCACTTTACTGGTCAATATGTATTTAGTTTTATCGATATTTATCGACATTCCCCAATTTGTGCATTCCATGTCAACTCTATTGATTAGCTCCTGCAGATCGTCGATCTTTTCAGCTAGAATCACAGTATCGTCGGCGTACCGTATATTGTTAATTATTTCTCCTCCTATGATAATTCCTTTTTGATCTTTTAAAGCTTCCCTAAATAGATTCTCAGAATACACGTTAAAGAGGGTGGGAGATAGTATACAGCCTTGTCTTACGCCTCGTTCAATACTTATTGGTTGATATATTTGATTCTCTGTTGTTGGTATTAATTGCTGTTTGGTTCCAGTAAAGTTTGGCAATAAGTTTGATGTCGCAACTTAGATACAACAAATTCCCAACTTCTCAAAATTTACAATGAAATCCACTCTTTTAATATCCATCCATTATTATGGGGCACTTTTGATCGTCTTTCTCACCAAAAAGACTTGGAACAGTGCAGTATGAACCGCCTGAGCATTATTTTCCACTTCCCGAGGTTCAATGGACCGGCCAGACCCTAGACTTTAAAACGTGGAAAACTATGAATAGTAGAAACATGGCAAATTGGGGAAAAATAGACCAAGATGATGTGAATTGTGACTGAGGAGAAACACAGAATATGGAACATCTTCTTACATGCAGGAACTGTCCTCATCGATGTACCCTTGAAGATTTGTGGCTCGCCCAACAAAGATGGAATCGACGGAACCCCATACTGGGCTGAAATTTTATGAATGACATGTCCGGACACGATAAAGTAAAGTAAGTACCAAAAAGACTAACACATTTCTGATAACAAAACCCAAACCCAGAAACACAAACTGGACCAACTTATCTCTCAACAAAATCCAAAGCCCATTTCGAATCAACAACATTCTACTGTTGTTCGCAATCTCTTAGATATTCACATATCCGATTCAGCTACCAAAGCTCTATCAAAAGGCTTCAATTTTTCTGCCATACCTCTTTCAATCCCAACTGAGAAAATTATTTGTCAAACTGAAGAATCTATTTTTCATCTTCCTTCCGATCAAGCCGAAGTTGTCAGTCAAGATGTCGCCAGAATTTTCCGTACTTCCAAACCCCCACTGTCAAATAACGGTCTTTTAGAAAGACGCGCCCTCAAAGAACTTTACAACAACCCTGCCACCGTCATTCTTCCGGCCGACAAAGGTAATGCCACCGTCATTCTTAACTCTTCTAATTATTTCGACAAAATGTTCGAAATAACTACATCGAACATTGGTTAGTGCTCTCAAAGATCTATATTATGTTTCAAACTCCCAAACGAAATTCGGAAACCTCTTAGCTGAAAAATTTGCAGTTACTAAGGGTCTAATGATGTTGTATCTCTCCGACTCTGTTTAAGATTTATATCTCTGCAGCTCTGAAACAATGGAAAAGGAAAGTCAAAGGAATGGGTATACAATTGAACGATCAGGATTACATATATACTTTACAGTTTGCAGATGATCAGGTGGTGATATCAAATGACAAAGACGACATGATATACATGCTTAGAAAACTAATTGAAGAATACCAGAAATAAGGATTAAATATCAATTAAGAAAAGACAAAATACCTCTCAATTGGAGCTGAAGCAGAACAACTCGATATCGATGACAATCAAAAAATAAATCCATGTGGCGAATATAAATACCTGGGCGTCATCTTCGATCGTAGTGAAAAGACGAACGGAGTTCTATGGAGTAAAGAAATATCAAAGAAAAGAAAATGGAACATCTATGAGACAATGGTTAAAACTAGCCTACTTTATGGAGCTGAGACCTGGAGAATAACCGAAATAAGAAATATAAGAAAAAGGTCGAAGCCACGGAAATGGATGCCATCAGAAGATCGATGAGAATATCAAGAGCCGACAGAATACGGAATGAAGTGATAAAACAACAAATGGGTATAGAGGGCACTATAGTTGAGGATATTGAGAGAAAACAGCTCATATGGTATGGGCATGTGAGCCGAATGGGGGACGAAAGATTGCCTAAAAAAACGACGATGTGGCAACCCCGAGAGAAGAGGAAACGAGGAAGACCACCACAGAGCTGGAACCTCGGAGTTGGAAAGCGATTGCGCTCGAAATCTGGACGAAGACCTAACTCAAGACAGAATACAGTGGCGTTTGGAAGTCGGACAACATCGTAAGACGTTATAAAACAGAATAAATATATATATATATATATATATATATATATATATATATATATATATATATATATAATGTTAGAACTTTTCAATTCCACAGAATACAAACGCGTCCCAAACGATCCCACCACCTATCTAGAAAAAAACAAAATATATACGGCCTTCCAAAAATCTTGTACAAGCGGCTTGAGGATTGAAAGGATTCTTAATTATGTATGTTAGAATTAAGCGCTCTTGCGCAAGTAAAACAGTAAGTTTGTACCCAAGATTTTCAAGCTTGAACAAGTTGATGTCCGTTGTGTTGCTTTGTGATTGATGTAGCATTTGAGTAATTTCCGTCATGACTATTGATCTCAAAATGGATAACAGTGAATTATTGGAAGAGTTTATTCAAGAATACCAAAATCAGCCATATCTTTGGCACGTTAAATCCAAAGATTATCATAACAAAGCAAAGAGGGATGCAGCGTACAAAATATTATTAAAAAATATAGGTTCATTGACTTTAATGCCGACAAAAATGCTGTTGTTAAAAGTTGAAGATGCGGATCACTCTGGAATGGGTGTAGATGAACGTTATGAGCTCACACTTTGGTACTACCACCTGTTTCACAAGAGATAAAAGGTTTAAATACGTCTGTTCATCCATTCTAGGATAATTATGCCAGTCCTCGGATATAATTTCAGCTCACTTAGTGAGCTAATGTGAGAATAGGTGTTCCTTGTCATCAATCATTGTTTAAACCACACCGCAGGCTTTTTTATTCGGTATTTTCTTTTTTTCACAAGAACAAGCATGCTGGACAAGCTTGCAGTTGTGTCTGTAACCGCCTTTAAGAATACTAACTTTACAATTACTTGTCGCATAAGCATCCTAAAATTTTATTATTAAATACTAATAGTCAGATACTAACAGTTGTTTGTTTTTAATAAAAAGTTTCCTAACTTTGTCGATTAAAATAATTTTTTGTTAGCATATATCGAATTTTGCACAGTGCCTAATTGATTTGAAGTTATCAAATACATTAATTGTAAATCGAACGTTTATTTTTTTTATTTCAAAGTGTTTATTAATTTAACCATATTAAATATCGCTTTCACGTACAACTTATTATTTGACTTTATTAGTTTATCTTTATGACTTCTTGTCTTACTTCCTTTCCGTTCTATTATTTATTACGTTTCCTTGTTTATCTCACTGGTGAACCACTTGTAGTCTAACTCTGTCGATCCTCGACCAAGACATCTTTACCAGACTGAATTTCGGATCTTAGTATCATTATTTGTGCAACCGTGTTCCTAATCTTCCATTAGGCACAGTCCTCCTACTACGCCGTGGTAGCTGTTTTGTTATACGATACGCAATTGAGTGGCGTTGATATGTTACACAAGTAAGTGGCTCCTACTCTTGGGACCTCAAACCTTTCTTTGGTCGTTACACAAATAAATGTCGCCTAAACGGGTTGCTATTATTATGTTAACAATTATAAAGCTGAATTCTCCATTGCTGGTCAGTGTCGTGGATCGAACGTTATCAAACACAAGAAGAAATTTGTACTAAATTCTACCTCAGATAGTAAGAGATCCTTCTTCAATCGTGACACTATTTTGTTCGAGGTATTTATTACTCTCAAATAATTTCTCCCATTTAAGTTCTCTCAAATTTAGAATCATCCAATTAGAGTTACGTTATCGTTTTCAGTGTTGATAAGTATGACGAACTTGAGTGCCCGGAAGATTTCTCGCTGTCAGAACAATAAAATAGTTCAATCTTCTGGACGAAGCTCATTCTCCACCAGCTTCGTCATCACAATCTGAGAAACGCTGAATATATGTGCCACGTCTTGTTGAGTGCAATTACCCTGTTGTGAAAAGTTCGGCCAAGTTTTTGGTAGAAATCCTTCATAGAAAACCACGAAACACTAGATAAGGTCATGCTAATACGTAAAATCGCTTGTTAAAACTTAATCAAATTTGTACTTCGGTGACAAAGAGTTTCAGAGACAAATATTCAAATAAACCCACCTTGCTTATCGCCACAACAAAAAAAGTACTGGACTGAAAATTAAATTTTGCCGATACCCTACAAAAAACTTAATGATAAAGAATGATACTCAAAATATACATCCACTTCAATAAATGTACAATGTATTTATTTTATTAGAACAGAAAAAGTATCGCAGGTTAAACATTATTTAAAAAACCATAATTTCTTACCTCAGGGGATGCGCTCTTTCCCAACTGGGGAAAGTATTGGTGGAAAATCTAGTATGCACAAGGGCCAAGTAAGTATCATACATGGGATCTACCAAATCAGGGAAATAGGTCCATAACTGGTCGGACGTCAACTGACCTTTATAAACCACAGTTCTTCGGCTCAAAGAACAAATGTAGAAACGTTTTCCTGGAGCTGGAATTTGGTGACTGGCGCGCTTACGCAGTATGAAATAAGTTCTATCTTGTTCAGACTCATCCACTGGATTCTTCAGGGTTATAAACGCCTGAAAAAATAAGCAAAGAACACAGTGAGGAAACTGCTAAGAAATTATTTTAGTTTATTATAAAATCATTATTTTACACCTAAAAACATCTTCTGATTTTAAAGAGACCTAATTACAGGACAACTGAAAAAATTTATTACAAAAATCGTCTTTCTTAGTAGGGTAGAAAAGAAAAAACAAAAAAAAATGTAAAAAAACTAAAAAAATAATTTCATTACCGGTTTCGGGATCGAGTATAAATTTTATTCATAAAGATTAACTGTAATATGAGTTATAAGAGTGATAATCCTAATTAGAGTATGCAATTAGTGATTAATCTAATTAGCCTATTTTTCATCAGAGTTAAAATCTACTTTCATTAACAGCAGATAATTACAGAAAAATATTAGGAGAAAATGTGGAATAAAAGTTATGTACCATCCACACAAACGCACAATAAGTGGCAAAAAAATATGGAAATCCACACCTCTAGATATGATCAGATATATTTGACCAATATTGAGTTTAATCGATTTTGTTTATTTCTTTTATTTTTACTATTTTACCCACCTGTCTCATAAACGGTTCAGAATTTTTCGCAACAGCTCCTATGGAGGAATTGTTGGTTGGTACGGTACGCCAAGCCAGCACGGACACATCCAGTTCCTCTGCCAACTCTGAAAATTTTTGTTCGGATTCTTGGTGATGCAGTTTATCCAAAAAAAAGATGCCAGTTGCGTACTGGCCGAAAACTGGCAGTTGTATATTTTGCTCATCCCTAAAGAGAGAGAATTAATCAATTATGAGAAATTTTTTTTGCAACTAATTTCTCAACTTTCGTTGTGACTCATAAATTATTATGGTAAAAAATTTGTAACCTAATATTTTAGTTCTAGAAACTTTTAAAGAATTTGAACAATTTCATGCTTTTTTCTTTTTAGAATATAATTTTATAGATTATGATTTTAGAAATATATCGCAAATATCAACATATTCTTCATTTGACCTCCAAATCATTATTAATAAATAACTTATATAAAATTATTTTTAAATTGTTTCCAATCTATGTATAGACTGAAACATTCAACAAAATATTTGTTTCATACAATTGTTGTGTAGATCTTACGAAATATTTGATCATATTAAATATTTATAAACCGATATTATTAGAATATACTAAATTTTCTGTTATTCAGTCGTGATTTATATTATTTAGAAGCTCAATATCGTATTATTTATGCAAATTAAGTATTATATAATATTATTTAAATTACCATAAATATGCAAACCAAATTGAAATACTTTTATTGACTCTATTTATTAGCTAGGTATGATTTTCCATAAATTATTGATGAGCTAGGAGAAATCTAAAATACAATGCAAATTATTAAGCTTCGAAAGTATCTTTATTATAAATTTTATAAAATAATAATCTTGAAAAAACGGGAAAGTGAATAGAGTAAGGATAGCGATAAGATTTTGTGGCAAGGGGAAAATCATAATATTCATCTTATATAAGTATAGAGGAACCCAAGCCCGGCCCTATTCCTAAAGTGGGCTACTAAGTTGATATATAGGTACGGTACAGTTGCAAAGCGGCAACACTGTTATACGTGAAATTCCTTATGAGACCAAAGTACCAAAGCACGGCCGACCATTTCAGTCGATGTCGTAACTCATTTGAGGTGTAGTCAGTGAATAAGCTAAATCTTGGTTTGAACAGTTTTGGCGCGCTTTTAGTTTGTGTTACAGGAATTTAATATTATTGGCGACGTGCAAGTACTTGGATGTGAATCGAGAAACGATCGTGCGCGAGTAGCGGAGAAATCTTGCATTTTTTACTGTAAATTTCATAGATTTCATAAATTAATATTGTCAATTGTCATATTCGTTTGTTTATTTATACCTTCTGTCACTGAAGAAAATGGTATTTAGGAAATGCTGTGTCATAAATTGTAAAAATACAACAAAAAATTGTCAATTTAAGTTTTATTCGTTTCCAACTTCGAAGCACAAATTACTACAAAGAGAAAAGTGGATTTATATCATAAAAAAGCATAAGTAACATAACCTAAATTATGCATTATTCTTGTGCCCGATTTTAAAGTCAGTTTGAAATAAATAATAAATAAAAGTTCACTTTTACGTGTAAATTTTAGTTTCATAACACTCACTTAGAGTTCATTTTAACCCAAAAATCAAGTTTAATGTTTAAATTTTATTTTTTTGAAGTTTACAAAAATGCATTAAGTTCAAGTTTTTCTGAAGATACATTAAGATATATTCGCTGTCCAAAAGCTTACAGGGAAATAATTAATTGTTCAAACCAATATGATGATATCATGGGCTTAACCTGCTAATTTATGCATTAGCAATATTTATGGTAATTTATTTTTCTTAATTTTTCCACATAATTATTCCATTCTTTTTTGACATTTGCCACTACTAAAGCTTTTCCATTTGACTCAGTGCTTGGTTGAAAAGTTTTTTGGTGATTTACTTTCTCAAATCCAGTTTTTATTATTGCATCAATATTGTAATTTAATAATATATTTATTTGTATTTACACTACATACAACGATTACCTTTTAATAACATACCGACATAACCTCAATCTTACTTTTTCTTCTTATTCTTTTTTGGGGCTACGTCCTTGACAGTTATCCGGTAAACTCGATCTAACATGAAAGCGCAGTAAATTTTGCTGATTTACGACACCAGGTGTCGCTGTTCCGAACTTGCACGGTCCCAAGTAAGTTAGTGAGTACTTTAACTATTACATTATTTTAAAGAGGACATTACAAGCTACTGATTCATGGTCTAACATTTGGCTTTAGTTTATTTTTAAAAATAAGAAATTTGATATTTAAATTTTAGTTAGGCGTTGCTTAATCCGGGCCCCCAAAATGTCCTAATGTGGGCCCCTTTTTTAGCTTCTTCTTCTTCTTTGAGTACCGTGCCCAAGTTTTAGGCGTGGGTACTTCCGTGACGATTTGACGATATCGTTCTCGATCTTGCGTGGCATGTAATAATTCATCTGCTGATAAGTCAGTCCATTGGCGAAGGTTTCGGAGCCATGTGTATTTCTTTCTACCAATTCCTCTTCTTCCGTCGATCTTTCCGTTGAATATCAACTGCATTATCCTGTATATGTTTCCTCTCATTATATGCCCCAGATATTCGAGTTTTCTCTTTTTTATTATCTTTATTAAGTCACCTTCACCTTGACCTACTCTGTTCAAGACTTCTCTGTTTGAAATGTGTTGAACCCATGATATTCTCAGCATTCTACGATATAACAACATCTCTAAGGCTTCTAATTTGTTCATCATGTTAACTTTCATAATCCAGGTTTCACATTCATACAGTAAGAGAGGATACACATAACATTTTAGGAACTTAATTCTCAGCTGTCAGTTCAGCTGAGAATTGCTCAGAATAGAAGTTTCATACATGCTCCTCTTGCAATTTCTATACGAGTTTTAATTTCTTCATCCGGATTTAGTCTCGTTTATCCAACATCCTAGATATTCAAAATGGTTAACTTTTGTTATCGGTTCATTATTGACAATTAGTTGTATAGCGCCGAGGTCTTGTTTACTAACCACAAGTAACTTTGTCTTTGTTGCATTTATGCTTAGTCCGTTATTAGAGCATTCTCTAGTGACTCGATCTATAAGGAATTGAAGATCTTCGATATTTTCAGCCATGGTTGCGGTGTCATCTGCACATCTGATGTTATTAATAGTTTCTACCCCGATTCGAACTCCACATTGCCCTTCCAAGGCTTTGTTAAAAATTATTTCTGAGTAAACGTTAAACAAAGTTGGGGATAACACACAACCCTGTCTAACACCTATTTGAATATAAATTTTGTCTGTTTCTTTGCCGTCTACCAGAATAGAAGCTTCTTGATTCCAATATAGATGTTGTAAAAGTCTCAGATCTTTATCATCTATTCCAATTATTTCTAGATATTCAAACAGCCTACCATGTTGAACCCTATCAAACGCCTTCTCAAAATCTATAAAACAGACGTAAATTGGTTTCTGTACTTCCCATGGTCGTTGAAGTAGTGTTAGCATTGAGAACAAAGCTTCCCTTGTTCTCAATTATTCCCTGAAACCGAATTGTTTATTTCCCATTGTGTCTTCACATTTCTGCTTGATTGTATTAAGAATTATCCTAAGAAGTAGCTTGAGAGAGTGACTCATGAGACTAATTAGTCTAAAGTCTTTTTTGGCTTGTAAAATTGAAATTGATAGATAATATTGATGGATATATATTGTTGTAGATATCATGCCGAAAACAAAGACATTGAGATCATGGTCCCCTTCGGACAAGTCAAGGGCGATTGACGCTCTCCGAAAAAAGACAATGGGCTTAAAAAAAGCCAGTAAGATGTATAATGTGCCAAGATCAACTCTGCAACGATTTACCAAAAAAAAAAATATGGAAATCCCTTGGAAGCATCTCTTACAAAAGTTGGTAGGCTACTGGTTTTTTGCAAATAACTTGAGAATGAACTAGTTAATTATTGTTTAGCCATGGAATCATCATGCTTTGGCCTTACACGAACAGATGTACGAAGAATTGCTGTACAATTAGATGAAAGAAATCACGTTCAGCACCCTTTCAAACATGAAATAGCTGGGCAAAAATGGGCAAGTCTTTTTTTAAAACACCACGTCCAGAACGAAAACCAACTGGCACGTCTTTTGTAAGAGCTTTAGGATTCAGTAAAGAAAATACTGATAAGATTTTTTAATCTTCTAGAAGGTTTATGACAAAGAAAAATTTACCCCTGATAGAATTTTCGATGTAGATGAAAGTGGTATATCTATCGTACAGTCAAACGTGGCTAAAGTAATTGGTTTGCGTGGAAAAAGGCAGATGCCAGTTGCAGCAAGTTGCTGCACTGGCATCTGCTGAGCGTACATCTTTCATTTCAATCGTTGCCTGTATGAATGCAACTGGAATCTTCGTTCCCCCTTTAATCATTTTTCCACACAAGAATTTGAGCGATCAACTGAAAAAGGGGCTCCACCGGGAACCATATTTGCGGCACATTACTCAGGATGGATACAACCAAATCTGTTTACAATGTGGTTCCAACACTTTATAGCAATTGTAAAACCTTCGAAAGAGAATCCTGTCCTTCTCATCTTAGACGGACATTTCAGTCACACCCAAAATATTGACTTTATCGATTTATCCAGACAAAACTATGTTTCAATTGTATCACTCCCACCCCATTAATCACACAAAATACAACCACTTGACAGAACATTCAAAAGAGCTTCTACTAGAGGAGGTAAAGCAACCAGTTCAGCACTTATAACTTCTTCTCCTTACAAATCGCAGTTAGAAGAGGCTGCAACAATTAGAGAGGAGAAAGTAGCTAAGCCCAGTAAACAACTGACACGTGGTAAAGGTCATGGTTCAAAATGTCTCCCATTGCAAATAAAAAGAGAAAGCTAAGAAAAGTTAAGTTCAAGGGCGAATCTAGCTCCGGAGAAGATTCGGGCGACACCATACCCTCAGGTTCATCTGAGTTAGAAATTTCACCAGGTGTACCTTCCGTCACAGCTGAAAAGGACGCGGAGTGTGTGTTTTGTTGTGTTAAATTTTTAGATGACTGTAAAGGAGAGCGTTGGAATAAATATCTTATGTGTTTCCTCTGGGAACAGGGACGTTGAGTGTGCAGGCGCTGAAAAAGAAAACTATATATGCGATTATTGTCGTCATTGACTTGATTATTATATTGTTACGAACATG